CGGATGGGCTCAGCTGTGCAAAGACTGTGTAAGACTGTGCAAGACTGTGTGCCCCCTGACTCGAGAGTACTCCTGAAGGAAACACAAGCAACACTCTCTCTCTTTTCTCTTCTCTTGTCTTCTCTTCTCTTCTCTTCTCTTCTCTTCTCTTCTCTTCTCTTCTCTTCTCTTCTCTTGCCTCTTCTCCTCTCTGTTGAGTCGACTACCACACCTCCAAACCTGTGAAATCCTGCTGTGTCTAGCAGCTGCATTGGTGATGTTAGTAGTTGCCAGCCACCGCATCGGAGGCAATTTGCTCTTCGCGGACTCTTCCCAACAAGCAGATTTGCAAGCAAGGAACTGTACGCACTTGCAGTGCAGTTGTTCGTAGATGCCACATATCTCCACTGTCGGGCAAACGCTTCAACCTTTCGCTGTCGCAGTTCGAAGCCGAGATGCTGATGTAGCAGAGTGACACAAATGACTTGCAGGCAGGCGGCGCTTTCCCTTGCCCTTTCCCTTGCCTTTTCCCTTTCCTTTTCCTCTTGGGGCTTCTTTTCCTTTGCCCTTGGCTTTGCCTTTGCCCTTCTTGAGCTCTTCCATTGGCGGGGCCTGAAGACGCCAAAACACGCAGAAAAAGAAAAAACACGCACAGAAACACAACCACATCCGCGAACGAGGCTCTCCCGCATTCTCCCGCCTTGCCCTTCTTGCCCTTGCCCTTGGCCTTTCCTTTGCTAGGCGGCTCCATGTCCATGGCCATCTTGCCTTTGCCCTTGGCCTTTCCTGCGACGGATCCGACGAATAAAAGCGACTCGAACATAGCCTGAAAATGCCGAGCAACCAGGCCTTTACCCTTGCCCTTTCCCTTCATGGGCATGTAATCCTCCTCATACTCATACATGCTGGGCTTTCCTCCGGAGAACGGCCCGAGAACGGCTCTCGATACCCTAAAAGAACAGAAGGTGCTGTGAGGAACATCCTCTTCCTCTTCCCTGATCGTCGCATCAATCGTTCCCGCCTTTGCCCTTGCCTTTGCCTTTTCCTTTTCCTTTCATGTCCATGTCTTTTCCCTTGGCCTCCGGGTTCGAGCGGTTCGGTTTCGCAGCCGAATGGGAGAGATGTGGGACATGCTTCGCGCCTTGCCCTTACCCTTGCCCTTGGGCTCTGGGTAGTCGGACCAGCCTTTCCCTTTTCCCTTTCCTTTGCCCTGAAACCGCAGATTCAGAAGTCACAGGCATGGATCACACCTCCGAAGAACCCCAGAGATGTACACTCCACCTTGGCCGGGGCAGGTGCTGGCCAGTACTCGTCGTAATCGTAGGCCTGGCACGCTACAACTGCAGATGACAATGGACATCAGCCAACCTGGATGTGTTGCAAAGGTCATCGCACTTCGACGCTGTAGGAAGATGTCATGAGAGTGGCTGTGTTTGCACTGGCATTTCCCATTTGGATGCATTTTCCCTCCTGGAAGTGGTGCTGATGTTCTAGCAGCTGACAAATACAGGCACAGCCTTCCTACAGGACACGCATGCGCCAAGCTGGAACATGTGTCATGTGCTGGATGGGCACGCAAAGTTTTTGAGTGCACCCCCCCCCCCCCCCCCCCAGGCCACCGGAGGGTGGAGCAACCTGGCAGGAGGAATCCGCCTCCAGCTTGCATCCCTACGCCCACCACAGAATTTTTTGGCACACTCGACAAAGCAGGCCAGGCTCCGGTCCGCCCACCACAGAATTACATCACCGAGGACCCCAAACAGTTAAAACAAAACCAGAGTAGTCCCTGGCTTCAGGAGCCCTCATCAACTAGGTCGGCATTCGTGTCAGCAACCAAACAAGAACCGCTGGCAACAGGTTTGGAGGATTCACAAGAACCCCGACCGTACCGCAAACAAAAAGAAACAAGGGATGACAAAGCGGTGACAAGCATTGAAAGCACCGGTACTGACCACCCCGGCGTTCCCAAGGAGTCGAGACAACGTCAGAATTGGCCACCCCCACCGGTCCCATATGAAGGGAAATGAGGGAAGGCAAGCGTCGAAAACCCCACGTTGGCCAGCCACATCGACAAGCGCAAAACGTCGGCATTCTCTCTCACGCAAACAAGAACCCCACTTTAAGCAGCTTGCTGGATAGAGTAAGACACGGTGAGACGAAGGGAGACAAGCGTAGAAAACACCGGCATCCGAAAGTGCGAAACGTCGCCATCCTCTTTCAGATCACAACCTCAGCACCAATGGAGAACCCATGCTACACCAACAGACACCAACCACCATCATCAGAAAACCTGGAGCACTACAGAACCGATTTTCAGAAAGCAGCCCAAGTAGAACCCGAAGCGCGCGAAGCCCGAGAGACGCTCTGGAAAGACTAAAGTCACTCAAACCACTGAGTCGCAGCACTTGCATTTCGGATGCCCGGAAGGGGCCTACGTAGGGCTACATAAATGACTGGCATGAGTCTGCTGCCCTTTCTGCATTTTGCTTCGGGGGGTTCATGAAGAGAGACCGGACAGCCACAATTTATGAAGAAGACCAGGGCGCTCAGGACTTCATGAAGGGACCCTTGCCGCAGCACCCATCTAACTGAGCTTAGCCAGTCTCCAACACAGTTTCGGGAAAAAGGGCCCCGCGCCCAAGTGGTACATCTCGTCTTGGAGAACGAGGAACGGATTTGGGTAGGACAAAAAGCCGTTGCCGGCTGAAGGCGGTGTGGATGCATTTTTTCAATCGACCTCCGTGTCCCGGACCCATTTCTGCTCGAGAACCACATCGATGGTCATGGCAATGACATGGCTTCTCAACACAACTTTCCATCGCTTACCAGGCAACTCCCAAAACACCAAAGCCACAGGGAATGCAGTTGAGTTGAAGTGCAGTTCCCAGTCATACAGCATGCATGCGCATTGGACAAACATCTGACCTTGTACCTTCTCCGGCTGAAGCACGAGATTACACTGTCCGTGATCTGGAAGCAACCGACTACCATCCATAGCTACAGCAATTACCCAAGCCAGCTTGCGGACCCCTGCACTGTGGATCCCGAAACGCCTTGCCCTTGCCCTTGCCCTTCGATTTGCTCATCATTGGGGGCTCGTAGTCATAGTCGTCCCAGGACGGCTTTCCCTTGCCTTTCACGCCCAGGCAGCGAGAAGCAGATAAAGGCACCGGTGAGTTAGCTGAGGTCGCAGCCCTTTCCCTTCATGCCGCCTTTCCCTTTTCCCTTGGGTTCCATCTTTCCCTTTCCCTTGCCTGCGCGTGCACCCGCGGAAGATGCAGAGTCGAGGCTACAAGCCGCTGGCCTTTGCCCTTCATAGGGGGGAAGTCTTCCCAATCATCGATTGGTGCCTGTGACGGAGCTTCTGGCATCTCATTCTGCATTGCTGCCGCAACGCAGCAAGCATCCTCAATCAAGCCTTCGACAAGTGAAAACTTGATTCTATCCACCGTGCCTTTCCTTTTCCCTTGCCACCCTTCATGCCCTTCATGCCCTTGCCACCCTTCCTGTGCGGAGCCACCACACGGTGCAAGAGAGACAAAGAGAGACAAAGAGAGAGAAAGAGAGAGAGAGAGAGAGAAAGAGAGAGAGAGAGAAAGAGCGAGCGAGAGCGAGGGACAGACAGACACCCCATCCAGAGCCATGGTCTTGCTGGCTGGGGTCCCGCTTGCTTTGCCGTAGCCACCCATGGGGCGTAGATGGACACAACCTGCAGCCGGAACTCGCTAAGCTGCGCTAAGACGAGCAAGATGAAGAAGCTTACTCACGGAAATTGGGGGGCTGGCTGATCAGCAGAAAGCGCGATGCGGGCACTTGTCCGGCAGGCGGAGCTTGCTCAGAGCCAGGCTGCTACCAGGATGCACACCACATCTCCAATGCAAGCCGTGAGTTGGAAAAGGGTACTCCCACTGCAGGGCATGCCGACTAATTTTGGCCTTCCCTACCTGCAACGACAGGACATGCAACGAGAATCCCGAACATCCAGCCTACTCTCTATGTTTATGTGACTAGCGGCTGTCGAGACATCCACTTACGTCTGAAGTCTCGGGGCCTGTGGTCATCTGCTCTGACTACCTGACGGCGTGTAAGAGCATGTCGTGTGCCCACTGCTGCTTCGCATCGAAATTCGCCATTTCCCGTAGTCGCACAATCACACATGATTAGATGGTCACACCTGTGCTGTGCATTCTTTCCGTGACTCTTGCCTGGTCCGTAATAGTGATGTTCCAGTGTGCCGGGAATTTAGAACAGTTATTTGAGCAAGATTGCCAAGCAATCTTGCAATCCTGGTCTCGCCCACTAGTTTCATTTTTAGACCCAGGTTACAAGAAAAGGCGAGGTTGCCAAGCAATCTTGCAATCTTGGTCTCCAAAAGGTAAACTAGTCGGCAAGTGGGCGAGTGGGGCAAGGGGGGGAGCAAGATAGCCAGCAATCTTGCAGCCTTGGTCTCCAAAAGGTAAACTAGTCGGAGGGCAAGTGCGGCAAGTGGGGCCAGATGGCCAAGATTGCCAAGATTGCTTGGCAATCTTTTCTGCCCAGCAAATGCAACACTCGCAATTTTGCTTTGGTTATTCAAGGCTGAGCCCACGCCAGTGAAGGGGCAAGTGCAGCGATCGGAAGATGCTATCGACATCGCACCATGCCACTTCTCAAGATGCAATTACTGCTGGATACCTAATCCAGCTACCCTTGCTACTCACAGTTCTTATTACTGAGAATGCATCTATGTCCAAAAGGAAGATAGACCGCGGTCACCAGTCATAAATGTCTGGTGGCACACACACACACACACACCCCGCCATGCCCTGCCTCCCGGTTTCTCGAGCAGGTCTCCAGTGCCGCGAGGCTGCGACCATGGCGGGGGCGCCGCGCGTCTGGGCTTGGCCATGAGCCTTCTTGGGCCAAGACATTACAAAACAACAGCCAACTACGGAGTCAGTGACGCGGCAGAGTGGAAGCCCTAAGTCTAAGTGCCTTTCTCGATAACTACTGGGGATCATTCGTTCTCTCTGTTAAACAGTTCAGGCATCGTCATATTTGACGCGCATGGTGTTGCAGAAGGAAAACTGGCGTGTGGGATTCGCATCCCATGAGCCACCGGTTTGGTCATCTTCGGGATCACCTGAGCCGCCGCACACACGGAGGTGCAACCAACTCATGACGAGGACCACGACAGTTTCATACTAGCACCAAGTCGCTCGTCACATTGAGCACCTCACGGGGTGGGACATGTCAGAAACAGTCAGAATGTGTCAATGCAATCAGGGCAGTGTTGGTTTCGTCAACTCCTGCCTTGGACAAGCCTAAGCAGCCCAAGACAGCCCTTTGAGGCGGATGTGCCGGAACTGCGACGCCCATATGGCCATAGAACCCCCCGTGCAGCAGGCGAGTGCACTCCACACATCGCATGTCGGAGTCCATGCCGCGCTCCCGGCACTTTAGTTCCGCCTTGGAACTCCAGGCATGAAATCCACGAAGTGTAAGAAACCTGCGGAAGAAGTTGATATGGCCGCGTCGAAGCACCCACACCTCGGCGTGCTTCCTGTTCGCCCGACTTTGCAGTTCGTGCTGTATCAAGCACTCCAGCCATTGACCGCGGGTGCTGTGCGCTGGAGGCTCCGACACTGAAGGAGGGGCAGTTTCAGCAGGGGGGGCTGCTACAACTCGACGCACCAGATTCGGATGCGTCTGCTGGCGGTATGACCACTTTGTGGTCCCACCTAGCTGCGATGTAGCGCCGGCCCAAACGAAGCATCCAAGCCCACCAAATGTGCACAACGTCAGTGCACCGGCCAAGCTCCTGGCCCTCACTGCTCTGTCGCTTTGAGGGCTCTGGGACATCCCGGACCCAGGCATGGCGAGCGGAACTTAGGACAAAAATTAAAGCACATCCAGACGTCAAGGTGCGCTGCTGCCAGGTGTGCGGGTTTGCTTGCGTCGAGCTTACATGGGACACACGAGGCCGTACCCAACCGAAGGCACAATCCTGCCCGCTTCTTGCCAAGCCTTACTGAGCAAAAAGGTTCAATGCAGACACGTGTGCATGCACTGGTCCCATGATGCATGTGCATGACCCACAGGGCTCCCATGACTCTGCCCCTTCGCAACTGCCGAAAGCTCCAACACGCGTCCTCCTGCAGTGTCTGTTTCGACCTGCCCGGTGACGACCAGTGCTAAAGAGGCTGTGTTCGTGAAAGTTCACCGAGGCTGCTGCTCTAGCGCTGTTGGCGACCTTTGGGAAAAGCCTGGGGATGCAGCAATAGGCTCAGTATCATGACAATATTTCGGCACCACCTTCACCCTCATGTGACGATTGCTAAGCTCACGTCTGCTCGCGGTAGTGGAGCTCTGTGGAGTGCCACTTTGGGCCTTGACCAGGGCATCTGGACAGTATTTCGGGTCACCTCTAAGGCAGCCACCCACTGCTCAGCAGCGCTTCTACTTTTAAGACACATCTACGGCTTGGTGCAAGCCGCTTTCACTCACTCCTCTGCCTTTTTTCTGGCGGTGGACCGTCACGCTGTGCAAGCCTTAGAGGACTAGTGCGTCCAGTGCCGTGTTCATTTTGAACGTCATGCCTCGGAACGCCACGTCCTGACTGTTGAACTCAAGCAGCTACGCAGTTTAGAAATGCTGAAGCTCATGAATTGAAGATTAGCCGAAAAGTCCTCACTCACACGTCCCTGTCAGCGAGAGAGTTTCGTTTCAACAGGCTTTCATCCATGCACAGATTTGTGCAGACAGTGTCCTGGCCACACCAGCCGCGGCTTCCAAAGTCTGCCTGCTCAGCTCGGCAACAGATCGGCATGCCGTGGGTGCATTGATGATTGACGATGAGACATTGCTAATTATGCCAAACCAAAACAAACTTTGTATCACCCTAAACCCAAAACCCTAAACCCTAAACCCTAAACCCTAAGTCCTCTGTTGTATCTCCTGCAGCCAGTCCTCCCAGCTTCACGGAGTAGCTGTAGAAGGTCAGCCAGCGTCGGCTCGGGGTCGAGCTCTGGTCTGAAGTCCTTTGCAGGGACCCCAAATCTGAGACACGAAGCCCAGATGGGGGTTTCCGAAAGTAGGGGACCCTAATATAGTACCCTAAATAGTGGGATCCTTATTATAAGGATCCCAAAATAGGGTACCCCCTATATTCGGAAACTCCCAGATCTCAGACGAGGAATACTCGTGACTTGGGGCAGTATGGCACTTCCAGGACGACACGAATGCCGCACAGGCCAAGGTCGGGACCATGCCGGCAGGTGTGATTGAGGGTGAGTGCCACTTCCGGACAATTTCTGTGGCGCGAAGTTCTGGATAGAAACGCTTCAGCAAGTCATGTAACAATGATTGACCATGTGGCACCTTGTGAGGCCAACTGCTGCTTCGCACTGTATTTCTATCCGCTGGGGGTTTGTGATGCCTCCTTGCAAACCAAACACCCTGGACAAGCTAGAAAGGTTCAATCATGTGCCATACAAAGAACCCGGAAACGAAGAGCACGTCACTCACCTGGTTATGCGGTTGCACATCTGGGCAACTTGTTCAGGTTCCCTGCACATTGCTTGCCACACTCGTCTCTAGCACTTCTCTAGCTCTCACAAACCAATCCTTATCTATCTTGCAAAGGGATCTTCAATGTTCACTGCCACTGCCCAGCTCATCCTTATGTGCTAAATAAGGTGGTACTTCAGAAGTCCTGGACACCAGGCCCATCGCGGAAATGTTGCAACACCAAATTGTCGGCTACGCCTGGGCAAGGAAGCACTCTGTGACGCCCCTCTGTGCGTACTTGTTACGTTTGCTTTTTGAGGTAGGGGCATTAGTAATGTTAGTGGTAGTGGCAGTGGTGGAGGTAGTGGTAGCGGTAGCGGTAGCGGTTGGGGTAGTGGTAATGGTAGTGGTAGTGGTAGCGGTAGTGGCGGTGGTAGTCGTAGACTTGTAGTCGTAGTCGTCGTCGTCGTCGTCGTCGTCTGGACGAGGAGCAGCGGCAATTGCAGTCGCAGCAGTAACAGGAGCAGGACCTGGAGCTGTAGCTCTAGCTGTAGCAGTAGCCAGTAGCCTATAGCAGTAGCAGCAGCAGTGACAGCAGGAGTGGCGATGGCATAGCAGCGGTGGAAGTAGTAGCAATTGCAGTATTAAGTGGTAAGTATAAGTAGCAGTCGCAGCTGTAGTAGTAGTACTACCACCACTACTACCATCACTATTTTTAGTAGCTAGTAGGAGCGGGTAGTAGTAGTAGTAGTAGTAGTAGTAGTAGTAGCAGTAGTAGTAGTAGTAGTAGTAGTAGCAGTAGTAGTATTGGTAACACCAGCAGCAATAGCAGCAGCAGCAGCAGCAGCAGCAGCAGCAGCAGCAGCAGCAGTAGTAGTAGTAGTAGTAATAGTCGTAGTAGTAGTAGTAGTAGTAGTAGTAGTAGTGGTAAGTAATAGTAAGTAGTAGTAAGTAGTAGTAAGTAGTAGTAAGTAGTATTTAGTAGTAAGTAGTAGTAAGTAGTAGTAAGTAGTGGTAAGTAGTAGTAAGTAAGTAGTAGTAAGTAGTAGTAAGTAGTAGTAAGTAGTAGTAAGTAGTAGTAAGTAGTAGTAAGTAGTAGTAAGTAATAGTAAGTAGTAGTAAGTAGTAGTAAGTAGTAGTAAGTAGTAGTAAGTAGTAGTAAGTAGTAGTAAGTAGTAGTAAGTAGTAGTAAGTAGTAGTAAGTAACAGTAGTAGTAGTAGTGGTAGTAGCAGTAGTCGTTGTTGTCGTCGCAATCGTAGTAGTAGTAGTAGTAGTAGTAGTAATAGAAACAGTAATAGTAGTAGTTGTAGTAGTAGTAGTAGTGGCAGTGGTAGTAATAGTAGTAGTAGTAGTAGTAGTAGTAGTAGTAGCTAGTAATAGCTAGTAGTAGTTAGTAGTAGTTAGTAGTAGTTAGTAGTAGTTAGTAGTAGTAGTAGTAGTAGTAGTAGTAGTAGTAGTAGTAGCAGTAATTGTCGTCATCGTCGTAGTAGTAGCAGAAGTAGCTGCAGCAGCAGCAGGAGGAGTAGTAGTAGTAGGAGCAGTAGTAGTACTCGCAGCGATAGCATCAGATTGACGAGCGGGTATGGCTTGCATGTCTAGGGAGTCATTACATAGATAGTGCTGTCCATGAAGCTTATGCCGCCGGTGTCTGGACCCATGGTGATTATGTCTGACTAGTATGATCAATAATCTCATTAATCTCGCTTTGCCCCCGAAGGGGGTTGAGATTATCAGGCTGCCAGGTGCTTTTGCAAGAGGTACACACAGGTACGACGTGCCTAACCTATCTTTTAGAGCTGCCATGGACGGCGTCTGACCATGATGGCCATTGTGGTGATGGTGGTGGTGATGGTGATGATGATCTGATGATGGACTCAAGGGCAAATACTATGATTACCAGTATTCTCAACATGATGTGCAGTCCTACTGTCGTCCAGTACTCTTGTTAGTGGGGATGTCTTTCTCCGCGCAATAGCCTGGTAGTCGCCGTCCATAGCACACGAGGACTAGCATTGCCGACCGTGGATGTTCTTACGTGTGACGATGGTTGCCAGTGAATAATCGTTCATATGTTGCAGGGTCACGTTGGGATTCTAACTACGGTGCTTCTTGCTTCTAGTGCCAAAATTGATGCAAATGACCTTGAGTACTGTTACCAGAATGAAGACACTCACAATCATTGTTGTGTCTTGCTAACCCTGGACAGAGCCCACCTTGGAGATCCAGAAGCTGGGCTAGGAGAGCTGCCACAGGCAAGGATTTTGCCTGGCTGAGCTCAACTGGCAGCAAGCAAGCCGCAATGCTGCCGAGAGTTTCAGTGCGAGGGGCGGGCAGCCAACGACTTCGAGCTGAAAGCAACAGCACATGTTGCCTCAAAACTAAAGATGCCCAAAGCACCCAGCGCCCCGCGATGCGTTGCCAGAGTGCTTTGGCGGCCATCTCCTAGCAGGGCTGCAGACCAAGTACAAACTTGTTGTGCTGGGATAGCGGTGCTACAACTTCTATTGTCAGGCTTGTCTCAGGCAAGTCTCAAGGCGTCGCTCGCCTGCCGGCGTTGCCCCAAGTCCTGCATGTGCCAGCGTCGTCGGCTACCCAATCGGACAAAGCATGCGACACGCCGCGACTGCTCTGGAGCTCGGCTCCTGCGGCCGCTAACAGGACCTCGGCCAAAACGGACTCCTCACAAGCGTGGGATGCGACTACTCGGACAAGGACTCAGCAAGAACATGCAAGAACATCAGCTTCCTGCTGGAGGTCATGCCCAAAGAGGCTGGCCACCAGGCACGTCCTCCGTGCCAGAGCTTTGACAGACACTCAGACTCCTTGCGGCTGTTAGCTCAGGCTGTGCTGCCAGGTGCCATAACTCAATGGGGGCTTGCTGCTGCTAGCGCCGCATCAATGCCATGCACCCGTCACCATCTCGAACAGTGCTGTCACCAAGCCCGGTGGAAACTCTAACTTCAGGTGCCGGGCTAGCCTGCGAAGCAGCTTCCACAGCGGGTACAGCAATGACGACGGCAGTCCTAGCCCGGCGGATATTGAACCATTCATCTTAAGCTTGCATCGATTTACTGACTTTCGACACAACTCGAACCGCCTACGACTGGCACCAGCCGCAGCAGCCGCTCACGTAGCTCTTCCGCACAGTCGTCCTTGGGGTTGACTGCTAGCTAGCGTATAAGCTATAGTCTTTCACGCTGCTACTGTACACCTCTCACCTGTTGCAGTACCAACCTCACACCTGCTTGTGCAAAAGACCTTTTGGATTCACCTGTTCACTTTCTCAGTCTCCCTCAGCTGAGCTGGCTCCTCTTCGAGGGCCTCGGAGGCCGCCTTCTCTGCATTGCCGCCGTGGGCTCGCAGCGCCGCATTCCTCAGCACACGTGTCCACAGAAACAGATCTTGATTCTCAAGTGGCATCTTGGGACATCAGGACACATAAGCTTCTTTGGAAAAGCACGTCTTCAGCACAAGCAGCACAACATGGCAACGAAACCGATATCGAAATTGCGACGAAAGGGCCGCCGAGCCGGTGTAGAACGTATCGCACGTGGATAGCCGTCTGCGGCGAGTACCACCAGTGCCTGTCCAACGAGGTGCCGACCACATCGTCCTCAGACCTAATCATCAAACATCCTGTTCCTCTTCATCGTCCTCGTCAACCTCGCCTGTCTTATGGGCATCATCACACCACCATGAACTGAGCATGTTGGAGCTTGCTGCACAGATACAGCTGATATCATCTCCAGCATGATCCCAACCATGATGCCAGCGAAGAATCCCAAACAATGAAAGAGCACCACGACGGCCATGACGACCACAACCAGTAGGACCACTGCGACAGCAGACCACGGAGACTAGGAGAAGATTAGGAGAGCATCAAGAAACCACGGGACACCACCAAGAGACCACCAGGGTACAAAGAGATACAAAGATCACCAGGACACACCACCGAGCGACCCCAGAGAGGAGGATTCGGCACTGCCAGGATTTGGGACCACTGTGCTTATGCTTCCCCCCTGCTGGCGAGATTCAGGAGGGCTGCCACACTCCTCCCCCCCCAAAGGGTTTCGATGCAATACATTAGTCCATGTATTGGGCGGAGGCGCGTCCCCGGGAATTCTCTTCCGCGCGCGCCGAGGGCATGCTAATCAATTCTCTTATTCTGAAGGTTAGAATTCGGGCATCGTCAAAAGTACTGCATCATCACTGTTACAAGTATCGTCGCTGTCGCTGTCATCAAGCAGAGTATATTGACTCAGCACATTGTAAAGCTTGCACAGACTTTTCCGCACCCTAACTGAAAGCACTCCCTCCGCACAACAGACACTTCGAGATATGTTGAGCCTGTACAATCTGCACAAAGATCTCGCCGCTGACTTCCAATGCCAGATCCTTCACTGCACTCTTGTAACAGAGACGGAGTGGGATTGGTTGATTGCAAGTCGTAAACACATAGGCGCAGTCCAGAGCTGCAGAGTCGGCTTGCGCGGGGCTGCATTCCAGCGCAAACGGGTCGGTCTCCCGTGTCTCGAACATTAAGAGCAAAGCTAACAAGCCCAAGGTTGCCAGTTGGCGTTTAGCATCGAGTCAAGGTCTCTTCTGCGCCAGCTCTACAACATGTCGTGCGGCTACACCTGTCAGTTGCTGCTTGAACCAAAAGCCTACGTGCGGCAGGAGCAAGGGGGTGACTTCGTCCAGGCATGATCACAAGCCTGGGTGTGCGGGTCGCTATGCTGCAGCGGGCCCCTTGCGTTTGCCAAAGGCGCTGAACTTGGCGTGGCTGTCCCAGTCCCGAGCCGCAGCCTTAATTTACCGAGGCTGACATGTCACTGCTGCTTTCAGCCTTTCCGGAGACAGGAACTACGGCTGAGAGCGGTGCGACGGCGGAAGCACGATGCCTTGCTTGTCTGCCTCAGCGTCGGGACTGCACCACCAGAAACTTGTGACTATCTGGATTGAAAAGTACATGTAGTGTCGACTCTCCAGCTCGGCAGACCAGGTGAGACAAGTGTAGCTTGAGGGTTGAGGGCACCTACCCTGGCACCTTAGTGTATGTGGCAAGCCACAACTGATCTATTTTCCGGACGTTGGGCAGGTGTCAAGTTCGCACCCTTTTGGGCTCCCGGCAATGCTTTGCGTGAATCTCCGAATTTGGACTCCGGGGTCTTGCCTGTGCAACAATGTATATACGTTCAATGTAGGAATTTAAGATAACATGTCAGTGTGTGACAAGTGACAGACTGAAGATGTCCGGTCACTACTGAAACGAAATGGCTGGATCGGTGCGGCTGCCCTGGATTCATCCAGAAACAGCTCATCCTTCTGTCCAAGCCCAGCACTTGCCGTCCTTCGGGTGGAAGCCATACAAGACCTGCAATGGGGCACATTGCATGCGAGCACTAGCCCGCCCTCCCGAACGGCGGACACCGCAGGCAAGCATCACAATGCATAACCGCCGCAGCCCACCTCACACTTCAGGTCCGCTGGCAAACCCTCCTTGGCACACATGTGGCTGGATGAATGGCGCCACACGTCCTTCGTTGAACAACAGAACTCGGGATTCTGGTGCCCTGACCGGATTAGCTGCACTTGCACATGCTGCCGGTTCTGTTAGCACGTCTGCTTCAGATTCGTGTGCTGTGTGTGTGTGTGCAAAAACCCACCAAGCTTCCAGGTACCGGCGTGTCTCGTCGTCGAGCGACCTGCGCTGGCCAGGTGCACCGAAAAGCGCAACTGCTGTGCGATTCCCCACCAGCGGTGGTACATGCTCAGCAGCTACAGCAAGGATTAGCATCCGTAGCACCGGGAAGTGCAGAGACGCATTCGTGTCCTTCGCCGGTCTTTACACAGTCCACGGTGTATTTTGCTTTGCACACGTGCCCTCGCCATTCGCTCACTGTGTCACCGAAGCTTGCAGGCGACCTGAACAGCATATCGGCTAGGACAAGTCCGTGTGATGAGCCTTAAGCGCTTTATGTTCGGCCTTTGGAGTAAGCTGAAAAATCGCACAACGCGACAACAACTCGACATGTATTGAAAGGGTCGCCAAGCTTTTTCCAGTAGCGCAATGGGTGGAGTCCCATCCGCAATAACCGAGCAAGGCCTGCAGAAGTGCGAGTGCGGGTCGTGCTTCTTGAAATTTCGAGTGAAACGGGGTGTTGAGGCTTGGCTCTTAGAAAGGCCTCCGTGGCCTACAAGGCACGGAGCCCAAGGTCGGCGTCCAAGCTACTTGCTGCCGCTGCCCGTGCCGCCATCTAGCTCTTTTAGAAAGTCGTCCACTTCGGCGAACATGTCCTGCATGCATGGCTGCTCAATGCAAAGCCAATCGTCAGGCTTGGCCTGCTGAAGGAATGCGCCTTCTTCTCAGCGACTTTGCTTGTGGAAGCCGCTGGTTTCGAAGAGCTTTCGCTGTAGCCACCACCTTTCGCTGCAGCATCACCTGTCAGCCAGGTTGCTTCCAAGGCATGTCTGAGTTGAGGCAAGTGCTGCAGCAGCACCATCGGCCAACGACATCTCCATAAGCTGTGCAATGGCTCTTGCCCGAAGACCCTGCGGCCTTTCGTGCCACTTTTCAGGACTGCATCAAACTCACCTGAGTCACGGCACCGATCCATGCAGCTACTTCTGCAGAGCATTCACGAACTTGGATGATTGCGTGGTAACTGCGAGCCAGCCGCTGAAAAGATTATCAATCTCTGCAGACTTCACCGTCGGCTTATCGGCGGATTGCACAGGAGCTGATGCTTTGTCAGCGGCCTTCTCGACTGACTTTTCCACCTCCCAGGAGGATCTCGTCATGTCAGTCCGGGAAAAATAGGCTGCTTGTTCCAACCGGAAGGTCAGGAAAAACTCTTACAGCATTTTGGTACCCTTGCAGTACCCATCCATATATATACATATATAATTTGTTTTAGGGCTTAGGGTTTGAGGTTTAGGAAACTTCTCCTTCGCTGTGGGCGCCTTCCGCTCCTCCTCGGCGGCTGCAGCCAGCGCCTGGCGAAGCTCCTTGCCCACGAGACAGAACATCTTTTGCATCATATACGACATATAATATGCGATATATAACGTTGAATATATATATATATATATATGTTGATATTTATTTATTATATATATATGTTGATATTTATTTATTTATATACAGATACATATATATATATATATATGTGTGTGTGTGTGTGTCATATGTGATATGTGCTACATATTCCGGTATTGGAGGCGCTTTTGTTGATCTGGAGGCCTACAGTAGAGTCATTAGAGGGTTTCCCGCTTTAAGCTCTTCGACTCACAGATCTGACACGTCCGGGCGAGGCGTCGGAGCCACGATAGTCCAACCGGATGATGCACAATCACAGTGGACCGGCACCGTGAATTCCAGGTTTTACACTCTCACAACTCGGACAAGCCAGGCGAATTCCAGGTTGTAGGGTTTTCGGTTTGGTTCCCTGAAACCGTCTGTGCAAAACTAAGCTCCTTGTCGTCATCCTGACCTGTCAAGCTTCGCTTCGGCTAGGTTCAAAATCGGATGTCGCATGCAAAGGCCTCCTCCCCCATTGGCCATATCTTTAGGGGACCCCTCTGCGGGAGCATCACGAAGAATGGCCTTACAAACAAGAAAGATGCAAAACAAGGACTGAAGAATTAGAAGACCCGGCCTCGAGCTCAGCCTCCACGTCGCCCTCCTCCGCTCCCTGTGCCTCCGCAGCCTGCGCCCGCTTCTTCTCATCCTGAGCGGAGATCAGCTGAGCTGCACCTGGGCTCGCCTGCCTTGCAGCCTGCCTGCTCGCGGAGCTCTGCAGATGCGGCACGGGCCTTTCGCGAACACGGAGGCGTGCGGTGTAGAGCGTGGTTCAGAAGCCAGCCTTCTCGAAAACTAGGGCATCCTCGGCTGCCGCTTGCTGCACCTTGCGGACGTGCACCCCACATCGTGTGGGAGAGAGTGGGCAGTTGCATGTGCAGACATGCTGTGACTAGCAGTGGTCGGGGGGCCTTCTCTTCTTCCTCCGTTGAGTCTTCGTTTCTCGGCACCTACACAAGGACCGCCAGGGGCATGAATTGGCGAAGGCTCCGCCAAAAGCCTCTTCGAAGACCAGGTCCACGAAGAAGTCGTCGGTAAACCGATCGTCGTTGCACGCTGCATCGAGTTCAAACTTGCTGAGTTGCAGACCTCGCACAGGACTCCCTCTGAGAACCATGCAAACGCCATCCATGTCATGTCTCGACTTCTTGATGCCGTTTGTGCCACACTTCTTGGCGGACATGCACTTTTATACTGCAGCCTTCAGGCTTGTGCTTCGAGAGACTGGGAGAAACCCTGTCTTAGGCAGAGCCATGGCTAACACAGGAAACTGCGGCAAGGATGCCTTCTGTGACGAAGTTCGTGTGGAAAGCCAGCTTCATTGCTAGCTCCCGCTTAGCATCCAAGTAGAGGTGAAAAACCTCCACAAGCCACAAGCCGCTGTCCGCAAACGCAGCGCATAGCGCTCTACCTGCCCACCTGGATCAGCACGTCCCCTGAGACGACTAGCTGTCCAGGCAGCAGAAAAGCCACCACCTTCTGTGAACTCTGATCTCAACTCACAGAATGCAGCACGGGTCCTGCTCGCCCACTCTCTCATTGCTTTTCTCTCGGGACCTTAATCCGTCGACAGTCTGTGCCGCCCACGGAATCACTGGATGCGTAGCTGCTGGGCCACACGGCCTGGCAAGAACCGACTTGACTCATCCATGCATATTTTCAGGAAGGCCTTGACACGGCCCAGTCAGCCATAGGGCTTCGAATTAAAAAGAAAAATGCCTTGCCTCATCACTCTTTCCACCTTTGAAGGAGGAGTAGGCCAGCTCTCCAGCGACCCACACTTCGATGAAGGGTCTGAAAGCAACACTTCCTTGCAATTTGGAACAAGACAGGGCCCGCGCTCGCACACTCGCACCGCAGACAAACACTCTCAACGTTGCCGGGAAGGTTGAATGCAGTGTTCAATCAGGTCCAAGCCAGAACCGTGCTGAACCTGTCACACCTGTCTAGCATCCTAACCAAGACCAGGGCGGATTCCTCAAAAATTTGACTCGTTGCAGCCGGCGCACCCTCAGCTTCAAAGCTTGGCACGCCACTCAGCAAGACCTCGTTCGGAAGCGAATTGAGCTTGCTGGAGATCCATGGCTACATCCCACACATGGGGTACTGCCAGCATGTGATCCGAATCCGGCCTTGGACAAGCGCAAGCGCTTTGGCTGCGGCGTAGTGCCCTGGAGGCAGCCATGTCTTACAGCTATTCCAGTAGACGACGCGGCAAGCTTCATGCAGTAGGGGACATGTTTCGATAGAGAAGCTCTTTTTGCCTCCAGGAACTGGTGGAAGTATCCTCGGCTTTGCAACGAAGGCACATGACATGGAAAACGCTCAACTCCCGCAGTTTCCGGATATCTTCGGTATGACCAGCTTTGGAGAAGAGATCTCCGGCTGCGGTGAGCTGACCAGTTCGCCAGGAGTCCAAGGTATCGCTGCTGCGATGGTAGCATCCGCAGAGGCAACCGTTCGGCGATGGCCTGCAGAGCCTCCTGAAAGGACGAATACGAAGCGAATCTAGTGATGCCGGTGATGTAAGAACTCCCTGAATTCTTGTACCGTCAAACCCTAAAACATCCTGGAGAAAACACTATCCCGGAACATCCCCAATATCCTGAGTATTTCTACCGAAAAGAACCTTTTTTGCATCACGACCTGTGCAATTGCAACCACACCCCTGTCCAAGACGGTCCTTTGGGCTTCGGCGCGTCCGAAAGGACTCGAAGCAGGCGCCAAAAAGCCCGGACCGGCCGTAGCCTGGCCCCAGGTGCACGAGACAACGGGTTGCGGAATCCCAGTTCAAAAACCCCCTCGAAGATGATGCTACTAAGATTACTAAGATCCCTCCGAAGCGAAGCAGCTTCCTGCATTCGGAACTTGAGTTGTTGAAGGTTTCGGTGCCTGCCCAAAACCCTTCTTTGCCACTCACACCTGGTGCCAGACTTTAAAGCTAAAGAGTCCCTCACTCCTGGAACCAACAGCCACGGTGGATGTCAGAACTTTACCGGCGCGAAAGTGGAGAGGGGTGCAAGGAGAGGCCTGAGCGGCAGTGCAGCACCAGAAGGTGACCCGAGTCAGTCGCCAGCCACTGGCTAGCCGTAAGACAGAGCTCCGCCACCAACTTCCTGGGCCGCTTTCATCGCAAAGATGATACAAGTACAATATCTATAGACCCGAGACCCTAAGCCCTAAACCCCTAAGCCTAAATCTGGAACGGGCATGAGAGGACGCATGGCCGATGCCGATGCCAGATGGATCACAGCAGGCAAGGCTCAGCGGCGGCACTTCCATCTTCTGCAGGTTGATGCCGACGACCTTCCAGGGCAATAGTTTCAGGCCATATACAATCACATATACACATATAGCTTTATGTACATATATATATATATACGTATATCTACATACATACATTTACATACATCGGATATGTGTATATGTATATACTTACTTAGTGTCGCACAGCGGAAAACATGACGAGCGTAGAGGCAAGAGCAAGTGTGTTTCAAGATACAAATGCGAGGAAGTGAAAGCAACAAGATTGATAAGCGAGCAAGAGCTATGCTTGTAGTATTGGTTCTCAATACTAAACGTAGCCACTATTGGCTATAATTACGAGAGACATAGTCACGGTCAGTGCTATGATGCACTATAATGTCATACCCAAGGCCCGAGCACAAGCAAGGTGAGAAACTTGAGCATTTTGGCAACAAAAAGCGGCACATGTATCATAGCAAAGCCATGCCAGCAGCAATGCGACGCATCGATACTCGCACTGCTAGTCACTAGTCACTAGTCATTCTTTCAGCACCAGCATGCGGACAGAAATCCATGAAGGAAAGGCACTACTGCTCATGAGATGATACACGTAGGACTAGTGTAACCGTATCGGAAGTGTTCTTGAAAAACAAGCTCTGGACCCCAAACTCATCGAGCCGCCTCGCCATCAAACTTGCTGCTTTCGTAGGGCTCCTCTGAGAAGTCAAAGATTAACATTTTCTGAGAATACGACTCATTGAGCCGCTTTGCCTCGGCTGCAAATGAAAAGACTGCTGCGAATCGCTGCGAGTTTCATCGAAGGCACTAGCCGCTCAATGGTCTCTATGCCCGGGTACTCCATGATGACCAGGTCTGGTTGCCTGCAGGTGGAAGGCTGCTGGACTACAGTTCCGAGCTGATTGCAAAGAATCCTAAGCCAAGGCTGAGCTGCAAGGTGTAGATCTGACAGTCGAGCTCCTCAAAAGTCCGCCTGTACTCGGCCTGCACCTTCGCAAGGCCAGTCCAATGCTAATCCACGGCAAACTTGCTGCTAAAGGACTTCATCACAGCACCAGCGATGCGCGATTAGCAAGTCTTGCTCAACTTCAATACCATTGCCCGAAAATTGCCGTGCTCTCCAGTTTTTGCACAGCGGCGCTCTCGGAGACCTTGTTGGCCGCCTCAGCCACCTGCACACAGTTCCGTCGTGCGCCACTTGTGACTTTCGGCCCTGCAGGTGGACTTTCTGACATGGGGGTTTCCGAAAATAGGGGACCCTGATATAGTACCCTAAATAGTAGGATCCCTATTAAAAGGACCCCACAATAAGGTACCCCCAATTTTCGGAAACTCCCACATTCCGTCAACTAGCTCCGGCCTGATTGGCAGCATCGCGAGCTTTCTGAACGAAATCAACCTGCACATGGCAAAGATCGAAGTGGAAGACAAGGACGCCCGGTAACGCAGTCGTTCGACAGAGGTCCATAGCAACGACTGGGCCTCTGCAAACTTCTGAACGAAGTCCGTGTCCTGCAGCTGGTCCACTTTCTCCTGGAAAAAGGGAAAGCAACTCCTGAACCTGCTTAGGGATGACCGAATCAGCTGTCAGAATGCCCGTGCCGAAGCCTACATTCTGCAGGCATAGACCCCAAACAGAGAAACTCCATCATAGTTAGTAGTTCGTGCCCTAAACACCTGAACACCATTCCAGCCCAAGACCGCCCCGTGATGACGCTTCAGCACGTTTCGGAAAACGCCACACTCGCAGAAAGACCACTGAAACCTCCTGCGGAAAACGTGCCAGAACCATGAAACACATCGGCACTCTAGCAACAGCACAGTTTTCGGCTTTGAAACTTCACCTCCCCCCCTAGCGGCGTCGATGTTACATCCAACGGTCAAGAATCTGCACAACCCGGCCCGGCTGCAGAGCGCGTGTATTTAACTGGAACAGCACAACATCGCCGCATGCCACCATGTGACACCAACAATGAAAACCTTCATAATTGCTCGGAACGTCATAGTGTTGTAACCACACAGTGTAGCGAACTAGATCAGCATCGGGTTCACTGGCACAGCTTTTCTCATGGCCAAGCATTGGACAAATCCTGGCCTGCGCCTTTTTGAGGGTGTCGGCTGCTTTTGACAGCAGCCAAGCCATGGCAAAGTGAATTCCCTAGACAGTGCAGGTTCTCTTTAGACTTGCTCTGGCCAGCCATAGATGCACGACTACCCAAGGCTATGAGGGCTGAAAGTAAGGCAGACTGGCACTCTGTGCTACCGAAGAATATGTGAGCTTGGCAATCACTCGCTCTGATAAACCGCGTCGCACGAAAACCCCGTCGCTGCTGTCTGGGATAAAGTGTTCCAAGAGCTCGGCCCTTCATGAGGTCAGTGCAAAAGGCGGCAATGCGGAAGACGACTCGCCTGCATGACAGTAACGTCTCTGCTTCAAACAACGTGTTTGTTTGGCGCTCGCCCTCGACTACGTCAGGCTAGGTTGGAAGCCGACGGCTTCATGTCTCGGTCTGGCAATAAAGAGCGCTTTTTTGCATCTGTATGCGGGCGGCGTTCTAACCCGTCGACGACATGTTTGGTGTGGGTGGCCACGGGCAGCTTCTTCTGATCAGGCATGACTCGTCGCTTGGCTTCACATAGCCTCCGATGACGTCCACACGATCTGGCACGGTCTGCTCGAGCTTCAAGTTTGCCAATCTCCGAGAACTTGTCGGAGCACAAGGGCATAGCCTTTCCCACAACAAACCACGTCGGAGAGCTCGGAGCTCCGAGTCTTCCTCACTGGCACATCTGCACTTCCGGCGGAGTTGGTCACGTTCACTCAGAACCCGTGTCGTACGTGAAGATCCACTGCAAAGGTGGGCCGTCACTGCGAGTGTCCTCAGGACTGAAGCAGTGATAACAAGGTTCACGACGGGAGCTCAGAAATCGGCCTCACAAGGCTTGATCAGCTCCCGGTACACGTTTGTGGCAGCAGTTATCGGCACCAGGCGCGAGCCTATCCAGTCCTGTGCAACACAACTTTCGCACTTCAACTTGCCTGGTCATTAATGGCACTCGGTGGGAGCACGGGACGGGACATGCGAAGTGAAACGGGGCAGCAGTACGTCTCTATGCACTCTGGCAAATGCACTGCCGTCTCCTTGGGTCTGAGCTCCCGAATCAGAGACCAGGTCAGGTCGGAGCGCCGCGCCTCCAAGTTCACTCAGACCCAGAGAGTCGGACGGAGCAGTTTGCTGCAGGGTCCTTCGTCCATCTTGTGGAGAGATCTGCCGGTATTCGGCTAACCTGGAAGGTCCGTGATGCGAATGCGAAGAGAGGGGGTGAAGAGAGCCTCCCGCCTCCCTGTCTCGGGCCTGGGAGGCTTTCAGGGAAACCTCCGAGCGGTGGAAGCGAAGACCCAACGGCAGACCCACCGGCGACTCTCCGTACAATGATCCTGAGTCTTCAGTCGCACCGCTGGAACCGGGACAGCGCAAGCACAACTCGCAGGTTTCATTCGCACCCAGGCACCGATAACCACGGTCCCGCCGCGACGGCAGCGCTGGAGCGCAGAAGCCAAAGCATCCTGTGAGCCGCTGGCTTCGATGCAGACGTCAAAGTCCGTACCAGCGCCGCAAGAGATCTTTGGGAATCTCCGCTGCAATGCAGCCAAGCGGTCGACCCGAGGGTCGAAGACTGTGACAGGGTGCCCATGGTGCGCCAACACCGCAGCAGTGAGTGCTCCCACAGTTCCGGCGCCAAAAACAGCCACAGACTCACCGATCACAGGCGCGGCATCCTGACTCAAAGCACAGGCCGTCTCCATGTTCGCGAAGAAGACCGCATCCTCGTCACTAACATCCTGAGCACTAGGCAAGGTATGAGAGGAGGGGACTGGCAACAAAAACGAAGGAATGAGGGAGCCATAGAGAGCACAAAAAGAATCAGCCATTCGGAGAGCTGCTGACAAGTACAGTCGTTTGCCGAGAACAGGGAGAGTGGAGCGAGGCCGTGGTCAGACAACACCTCTCTTTGCCTGCCTCTGGCAGAACATGCACCACGAAATCCACGTCCAAGAATCGGTCGGGATTGTCTGTGCTGCGGATGACGGCACGATGGCGTGGCTCGCATGAGGATGAAAGCAAAATGCTCTGGTCCCAGGCAGTAGGTCGGCAGCGTTCGACTGGACAACAGAACCAACCATGCAGTACCCATACCTGGCAGGGCATGTCTCAAAGAAGTTTCATGTGCCAGTGTTCTGCGCCATCTTGTGTATGTTCTGCCATCCCTGGCACCTGAAAGGCCAAGCCGTCTCACCCAACTCGTGGGTCACATCCAAAGGTTCTGTGCCCGGACCTTGCATCAGCATGCGCCTGACCAGGAACCGTGTCACATCGCTTGAATGTCTCACCGACTCGAACTGTCCCAGACTGGACGAGCCTCTCTGTCCCTGCTGATATCCTGAGTCCAAGGACTTGATTGGATCCGATCAGGAATGCACATACTTGTCAGAAGGTGCCGCACACCCTGCGCCCGCGGCGCAGTGTGCCGAAAGACTGCCAAAAGTAGAGCATCGCACGGTGCAGGTGCTATGGATGTCTGACCGACTCCCGTTTCATCCAAGGCTCGCAGAATATCTTGCCCGCACGAGGACCTCGCCCTGCTATCAGCAGTAAGAGCACTGGCCCTTGCATCTTACATGAAAGGGGCCTCCCCGGGTCGCCCGAAGGTCTCTTCGACCTCAGAGAGCCAAGAGTCGAACGTCTTTCACCCCGTCCCAAAGAAGCTCTCTGCGGCCGAGAGGCCAGGCGCGCCTCGCCCGGCGCAGCGAACTCCACCGCGAGGCGCCACGGCGCTGCCTGGGAGGTACACCGGCGACAAGCACAAGCTTCGAAGAACGGGCGAGTGGCCACTGAGCGGAGCTGACAAGCGCAGCGAAGGAGGGGGGGGGGGGGGGGGGGGGCATCGCTTCTACCGTTCATGGGCCGAGCAGCTGGCAAGCTGCCGGGAACTCTCCCGAGGTAATCCACCTCAACACATCGCCAAGGAAGGGTGGGAAAAAGGGGGTGTTCCATGGCCGAGGGGCATTCTCCACCTTCAGAACGACGTCCTCTCAGCCACTCCCACGCAATTTCCGGGGCTGACCTTCACCGTTTATTTCGGAAGTCCTCGGCCAGGTCACCAGGGCTGGCGGAGCCCCGCTGAAGTGCGGCCACAGCCTCGCCAACTGCGGCATGGCCGTGAAAGCCTCCCGAGAGGTGCGAGGAAGATCTTGCCTAGAGACGCCTCAGGTTCCGATGCTGGCTGCCAGCCTAGGGCATTGACAGCCATGAAGGAAACGAGCTGCTTGAAAAGGGCAGGGCAAGCCTGCAGCAGTTGCCCAAGCACGCAGCACTCTCCAGAACGGCTGCACCTTGGAGTCGAGAACCCAGAATGAGGGTCCTGCCGCCCACCATGTGGCAAACTAGAAGATGAAAGGCGGCAAGGCAGAAAAGTCGAAGGATGACTACAGCTCAAGCCCTGTTGCAACGTGTCGCTCCTTTGGCGATCGTCTCGCCAAGGGAATCGTAGAAACCGGTTACATTCGTGACCTGGCCGTGCCGCAATTGACTCCACAGCGCTTTCGATATAGTAAAAGGAGCGAAAGGCCAGGGAAAGACAGAAACAAACCAGAGCAGCGCCTGGCCCCTGCACTCCAGCGATCGGTTGTAGTCTGCTGTCAGCAGCTCCATGTCTCCGTGCCGGGGGGAATCGAAAAGGGTGACGCCGGCGTAATGGATGGGAAAGTAGAGCAGGGCTCCCGCCTGGACAAGGCGATCTTGTGAAACTGCATCTCACGAATCGTGAAATCACTAGGTTCTGCTTCCAGAACAATCAGCTAGGGCCATTGCAGGAGAGACCGGCGAATGTCGTTCACCCGTTCTGTGCCTGGTGTTGTCGAAGAGCATCTGATAAAGCCTGCACGTCGACGAGGTCGAGGATGGAGCACCCTTGATTTCGTGACTGGTGGATGTCGAACGTCAGGCTAAGGGGTAACATATGGTAACATCATATGAACCATATGAATATGTCACCAGCTCCAGGCTACCTCTACAATTACTGGACCATGCCTTCTGTTGCTACTTGCTGCCGGATTGCCCACAATCAGCGTCTGCTGCGGCATGGTCTCCAACGAATTCACGGCATCTCCTGCCCTGCAGCCGGTCTGCATGGGAACAGGTTTAGGGTTTAGGGTTTAGGGTTTAGGGGTTTAGGGTTTAGGGTTTAGGGTTTAGGGTTTAGATTCCGAAAGCACGAGAAAAATAACGTACATGTGGAACACAATGCAGCCCGCGTTATACACTGGTTGGATGGCCCGTATTTACATTCAGCGGGCGACTGCACAATGAGCGCCTTATGCTTGGATTCGTTGCCTCCTGCTTGGCCTAGCTAGGACGAACCTGCAACGCAGGTAGCTCGGCTAAGCTTTTGGAGATGGGGTTTGCGTGTTGCTCTATGGCCGGACTCCAAAAAGTTCGACTAAGATCATGTATAGGATCTCGAGCAACTTCGGTGTGAAGGAGCCTATCAGCCCAGTACAGGGGTCAGTTGGAACGGCGGGTGGCCTGGGAATCTCAAGGCTCCTTAAGTAAAACACGCGTGTGATGCTCCGATTTCTTGGGTTCGGCTTTGGCGAGGCGGACTTGAGCGAAAGGCAAAAAAAGCTGCGACCGACGAGCGCTTTGTGTTTGTCCCCAGAACTTCAAGTGCCAGGCCGGAAAGCATTCCCCCGATGTGCATTTTAAGAGACCTGGTTGTGTACTTTAATATGAATGGAGGCCTTACCTTTGTGCACAAGCAAGACTGTCTTGAACACCAGGTGCAGAGTGGCAGTCGAGCTAGACCTAGACGCTGTGCATGGGCCGCAACGGGGTTAAGCGAAGGCCGAACCAAGTCTCGCAGTGCACTCCAGCAGTTTACTGCTGCAACCCGGGGCTACAGAAAGATAACCGAACTTCCGACACGACCATGTGAGACGATGCCTTGCGACACTGTTCACATACATTTGTCCCCACTTTGCCATCGCTTGCGAACAATTTAGAGACACGGGCAAACGCTGATGTCTGCGTTGAACTGCTTGCGGCTGCTTGACAAATGATGACGGAAACGAAATGTTACTGTTCTACTTCTCTTCGTCGCACAACGGCTGTTGCTGTTGGCACATGGCAAGTTCAGTTGTAGTACCATATTCTCACACCAAAGAAGTGGACAGGGCAAGCGCCAATGGATGCCGTCTCTGGTCATTCTCAACATCATCCAAGGTACTGCAAAGTCACCGTCACCTTCGCCAAGCAAGTTGGGGCATCGTACGGTGAATTATACCATCCCTTGCAGCCTGGCAGTTCGGCAGCTGCCAAGTGTTGGGCAGGACGCCATGTGGAGTCGCCGCAAATTGCGACTCCAAACCTTAGCTGCTCACATCTTTACACTGGAAGAACGCCTCTCCTCCGGGGGCGTAATCTGCGTACTGTCTTGCCAAGAGGCGCTCTGCAGCAGCCTGCGTCAAGAGTTCTTCATCTCGGTCCAGGGCTGTGTACTTCACCTGGCAACCTGTAGCTACGGGCCGCGAGCGGCGGTGCCCCGGTCCCTGCTTGCTTTGCTACGCCTACGTCACGATGCCGTGTGCAGGCCCAGATGCCTTTCGGCAAAGCCTGCAAAATCACCGACAGCATTGACAGAGTACCTTGGCCGTGCAACATGCGATTCCCGGGCAGCAAGCAATCCAAGACATTGCGTGTCAAACCGAATCCTGGCTAGCTCGTGCCTGCACCCAGGTCAAGGATGGAGATCTGCTGCCCTGAGGCTGCGTGGAGCTGCGAAGGTCCGAACGCGTGAAGCCAAGCCAGGGACCAGCGTAGCCGGCGAGCTCCGTCGCCAGCTGACCACGCACCGAGGCAGAGAGGGCTCGAAGGTCGGCGACCTCCTTGGCCTCGACGGGTGCAATGCGCCCCCTGCACTCCTGCTACTGCATCTGCTGCCTGCGGTCTTTGGCCAAGGAAGACAAAGACTGCCAGCCTGTAAGTAGTGGCTTTTGGACAAGCGCCAGCTGGCCGGCACTACCTCCGTTCACACGATAAGACTTATTGACCCTTCAAGTGGCTTGACAGACCTGCTTGCAGAGCTGGTCAATGCAGTAGCCAAAAAGCTGCATGCCAAAGCTTGCCGGGAAGCCATCAGAGCATCTGCCACCAGCATCATGATATCGTCCGAACGCCGCCTGACACTGCTTAGAACACGCACAAGCTATCAAATGCAAGACTTCAGAACTTCAGTTGGTAGGATCGCGATTGACGCTTGTCATGACGAAGACTGAAGTCATCAACGCGACAGATTCGAGCTCGACCTCTTCTCTCGTATCTCTCGTTATCCAAAAGATTGCATCACACTTTCCTCGCCTAGTTCCTCGCATTCTTAGCATGGCAGGTGAGCTTGTTGCTTCGAATCCTTAAGCCCCTGCGCCCCTACATGCTCCAACTGCCCGTGACACCAACGACAAGGGCTCAATCCTCTCGAAAGCAGCGGTTGCACTGCACTCATGTTTCCACATGCCGAGCTGCACATGTGCAGAAAGCAGTCCAGAAGCTACTGCAGCTCGGACATGGCCTCATGGCTCCGATCAGCGCTGCAGGCAGGAGGGGCCTCTCTGTCATGCACAGGAACCCCTGCAGACCTGTGGCCAAGCATGTAATATAATATAGGGGCCTGAATAATTAGAATAGGGTTTTGGGGCCCATTATACTATAATGATAAGCTTTGCACCAAGCAGCCCAGGGAGTCGTCAAAGAATTTGGCTCTCGCCCGGGGCAGCATCTCAAAGAACCTGCTCCAACAGAGCACTCATCTACCACAGGCACAGATCTACAAGGCAGCCTGAGGGCCATCATGCAATTGCAGCCGCACACAATCCAGCTTTCATCTTGAAGATTGCCAAACAGATCTTAGCGACGTAGGCCCGTAGGGATTAGCAGATTAGCAGCAAAGCCAAGGTCCTTGCAAAACAAAAAACAACAGCATGTCGAGCTTCCCTCAAAGGCAGCCAGGAGCATGACTCACGCGAGTCACACTTTACCGCCGGGGCCTGGCATCGGGTTTGTTGATCCAGTCGTTCTCCGGGGACGGGCAGATGATGTGCAGAAGATCGCTCTCGAGCCCGAGGGCCTGCAAGTTTGGGCTTTGGCGCGGCGCAACGCATACAATGTAGACCAGAAGTGCCTCGAGGACACGATCCACAAATTTGCGCGGCGAGTTCGTTGCCAACCACAAAGAGACGCCGTGCGCCCTGGCGAAGCTGCAGAAAAGCTCGTCACTCCTACTAAGTACGGCCTTAGAGACTTCTGCGGCGCGGGTGTTTGCAATGCAAGCAGGCGGCGCCTCAAGGTCTTCAGCTGCAGGGCCAGAAGCGGATCCGGCTGTATCGCCTGCAAAGTTGGAACCCGTTATTCACTGATCGCTGACATCTCCAGATCCCACCTCCAGGTCCACGCCGTCATAGACACTAGAATAGAAAGCTGCGATGGCCTCTCCTGAAAGATGGCCTTCGGAAAGCAGTCCTTGCAAGGTAAAGGGAGCGGTGAGGCCCATGGACGGCTCTGAATGCTTCTGCGCTCCTCGGAGGGTTGATCCATGTGATCTGAAAAGCTCTTGGTGTGCATCTGGCCCGAGCCCGAGCTTCTCGGTGGCCTTGCCGAGCCTCTTGACGATATCATTTTCTACTTCTGCGTTCTTGTACAGAACTCCGTCCATGTCCAGGATCATCTGCCAGGAGTCGCTTGCAAACATCCGTCTGCGTGGGCCATGTGCGGAGGCGCAGGGCTTGGGCTTGGCATCCAGCCAAGCTCGCGTGCGCAGCCGCCGCATGCAGAGTTGGGCCTCAGGGAGGGCCCTCCACATGAGTTCTAATGATTCTATCAGCGATCGGCTCTTGAGCCAGCTGCGAGCAGGCCGGCGTGGAACAAGGACTTGTGCTCGCCAGTTCTAAAGGCTGCTGCAACTAAACGGCCTTGTTTATCTCCTCTGAAAATAATGTGCTCCGATCCAGGGAGCAGCGAACCGGACTCAGGCGCCCGGAGCAGCAGCCAACACGGAGTCGCAAAGCCTCTTCACTCGCGACGCCAATTTTCCCAGCGCGTGGCCGTTCGGCACGAAGCACATTCAGAGGGCACGAGGTCTGAGTCCTCAAAGCTCTGGTCCTGTAAACAGCACTTGCTTAATCCCACGACCTCTCCCCAGNNCCCCCCCCCCCCCCCCCCCCACGACATTTGGCAACTGGAGCCTCTGGCATTCTGCTTTTGGTGGCTCTGCTTCTGGAACTTCTTCCGTTCGAAGGGCGTGGGCAGGCAAGCCTCAGCAGCTTCCGGCGTCACCTGGACGTGCGACCTAGAGGATATGTCGCACACACTGGATATTTATTTCCGCGATGTTGATGCAATCATGTGCCGCACTATGGCCTCAGAGGGCTATGATTTACACTGTCGCAACTCGGACACTCCGGGTGAGGTAGTTCGGTTCACAGCGACAGTTGCCTTGGCCTGAGCTTTAGTGCCAGGAGCTCCACCAGCCAGAGAGCAGTTGAAAAGCCCAAACATGATTGAGAGTTTAGGTTTAAACTTTGGACCGTATTACACGTCAGGTAGTAATGGCTCAGAGCTTTCCTGCAAAAGAACGTGCACAAGAAACACGAACGAGGCACAAGTACAGCGTCACTTGCCAGGTACTTCCCCAGCCTCCATGGCAAGGCCCGTCGGGAGCAGGGACGCTTCTGCGCTGGCATCTGGAAACCAATGGCTGTCACTGATATCCAACACTGCAACAGAATCCGTTTGGCCACCCTGCCTCCGCGCTTTCGCTTCCGAACTTCGGCAGAATCTGTCGCGAGGCTCCAGGGCTTCTGGAGGCCGAAAAATGCCAGTACATGACCTCAAGGATGCGGCATCCATCAAGTCATCTTCAGTCTCTCATCGAGGTTGAAAACCCTCCTCCACCGCAGACAGCACCTCCAACGCCTGAATGCCTCTGCAGCCTATTGGAGCAAAACAACACGAACCAAGTGGCGAATTCCGGCCCAGAGGCGCCAAGTATACGGCTCCGCTGCAGGTTCGCTTCTGGTGACCTTCTTGGCTTTGACATTTACAGCCAGGAGGTAGTTGTGGCCCCAAAGAAGAAGCTTTTCCGGCGCTTCGGGAAAAGCGGCGATTCCACAAACGCGCGCATGAACTGCCAGATGCCGCTTCGGTATGTCAAAGGGCGGAATGTCTGCATGCAAGCTTTGAGACTCGATGTCGAACAAGGTCACCACATGCGCCGTCGTGGCAACTACTAAATGTTTGCCGGAGCTGTCAAACCCCAGCGCCGTGGCCGCTCCGCGTCCGACAGGAACGGAAGCGTGGTGAAAAAGACCGTCCAAGCTGAAGATGTTGACCGCTCCCGCCAGATCGGCTGAGGCCAGCCACTCACCACCAGGCCCTCCGGCGGCCAGCAACGAAACTGGTGCCTTGTGCTCCTCCAAGCTGGCTATGATTTTCCTGGGCTTGCTTGCGAAAAAAAAAAGACTCAGAAGTCTACAGCTGCCGCTTGCACTGCTGAGATCACGATGCTGCGCTGGACTCTTCTCCTCACAGTCGAGGAGATGGATAACCTCTCAAGAGAGACCAAAGCGGCGGGCTGGAGGTGCATGCCTACGTGTGTTAACTCCACGCAGGCTGCGGAGACAAGTGCTGCTTGGGAACATGTCCATGCCATGGTGCCACTGCGAGCCTCAGAGCCAGCTGTTGAACAGCAGGTGTGCCACTCCATTGAACCAGAATGGAGCCAGTACACTACGTCTAAAGTTCCATCTTCAGTCCGAGACTGTGGGTGCTTCGTAGTTGGCCAAGGGCAACCGAGCGACAGTTTCGGCGAGCAGAACTTCAAAGCGCGCGCTGCGCTGTTGGCGATCTCTATAGGTACAGCAACACGCTGGACCTGCGGCTGCCCTACCCTACAGGCCCTACAGGCCCTACAGGCCCTACAGGCCCTTGCAGCAATCTCGGAGACTTGAGAGGCTTGACTGATTAGATGGCTCGGCCTGGAGCTCGCTCACACTGAGGTTGAAAAGTCGAGTCCCCGTCATGTCGCTTGCCGCCACCCGCTTCCCATTCGGGGAGATCGTTGAGGAGCACAGATATTCTGTGCCTCAGCTCTTTTCCGGTGAGAGCCAAAACCAGGCAGGCACGACCACCCAGCAAAAGCGCGACTGCCAAGCCGGAGGCCAAGCGGCTCCTCTTCGTGCCATCCGGCCCAATCGACTTCCCGGCCAGGGAGATCGTGAGCAGCAGCTGCCCTGAGCACCAAAACGGACTATAGGGCATCTCTCCCCCCCCAACTCCCCAACTCCCCATCTCCCCCCCCAGCTCCCCCGAGCATCTCCCCCCCAGCTTCCCCAAGAGCCATGGCCAAAGAGCCTTCCGGTGCCCTGGCCGAAGCTCCGAGGCTCGGCGCGTCCTCCGGCTCGGGCCTCCGCTCAGCGCAAGAAAGCGAGGAAAGGCTCAAAAACCAGGGTTCAGGGGTTTAGGGGTCTAGGTTTAGGGTTTAGGATTTAGGGCTTTTTGGGACCAGGGGACCTGCAAAACCAGTGGGGTAGCGACAGGGCTTACCCTCGCAGACTCGGACTCGCCGACTCCAGAAGACGTCCGAAACACCAGTCACAAACCCGGACTGAAGCAATAAGCAAGACCCGACTGTGGGAAAATCCTCCTCTCTAAGCTCTGCTGTTCACGGCCAGGGGGCAGGTACCAGAGCTCCAGGGTCTGCCCCTTCTGGCAAAGAACAAGGCGGCTGTCTTCCGAAATGGATGCCGTCTGGAAGAGAGGTGAAAAGTTGCTGGACTGGAAGGGTCTCGCCGCTTTGTCGTGACCCGACTCCAGAGGCTTGAAGACGAAGAGCCTGCAACAAAGAGAGTAAGAGCGACTGCAAGGCAGGTTCCTAAAAATGCGCCGCCTGCCAGCGGCTCCGGCTGAAATCTGTGTATTTCTTCCTTTCTTTGTGTCGTCGATGACAATCGCGCGGACATCATGGGAGTGGCCTGGAAAGTGGGCGAAATGCACAGGCAGATGGCCTCACTCCCATCACCACCATTGCAAATGCTGTTTACATCCGATGACACCCACCAGACAGGCTGTGCTACAACCGTTGGAGTATGGAGTCCTCACTATCTGCACTACCCGTCGCCGATTGTGGTTTCGCGACGAGAGTCAAAGCATCGCATCCCGGAAGACCCACCGCTCCTGCAGAGCAACGGAATCAGAACATCCCACTCACTAACGCTGAAGGAGCCGCAGCAAACTGTCGGCGTTCGTGACTCCTTTGTCAATTCTCGAATGCACTGGGAATTCAGCTCTGTCAGCTTTCAGCTCTGTACAGTATAGAGCACATGTGCTAAGCTAATGCCGCCTTGTGCACTCGTCGATGATGCTCTCTAGCTGCGTCTTTGACGCAGCATCAAGCAGAGGCATCTCTTCCATGATCACAAGAAGCGCTGATCGATCCAACTTGCCCGTCTTCTTGTCGTCCGCCTTAAAAGACGGTCCGGACGGAAACAGCTTCACATGGGCAGAGAGCTTCTCAGCGTCTGTGGCCCCACGCTCGTATTTTTCCCAGAAGTACCCAACATCCACCAAATAACCAACGTCAGGCCCGTACCCGGACACCGGAAGGAAGACTTTCCAAGTCATGGACTCGTCAGCATCAAAGCCGCTAGACGAGTAGTTGCAGTGATCAGAGGATGTGTACATCACCTTCATGATCTTGCCCGGCGCATATCTTTGTCCGTCCTTACACGTAAGGCTGTCAAAAGCTTGCTTGAGATCCGACAGAGACAACTTTGCCAACTCCTCGGGATCAGGTTTGGGGACCTGCGCAGGCTGGGCAGGCTGCGCAGGCTCCTCCCCTCGCGCATGTCGCGTGCATGCCCCGCCCATCTCGAGCAAATCGAATCGGACTGCAGGGACTGCTTGCGCACAGACATCTGCTGCTGGATTTGAGAGGAATGGCCACCAATAGGCCGAGCAAGGAATCTGATCTCAGATGCGTATTCTTTAGCACAAGGATCTATCAGGAAATACACTCCCGGCGAAGTCATGCGAAATTGCCTTGGCAAAAAGAGAGCATGGATTAATTGAGTGCCCAGGTGCGAAGAAAGACCCGAGCATGGCCGAACCCCTGAAGTCCCCCTTAAGCCGGACCCTGGGCCCCTAGGGTTCAGGGCTCCTATAGTTTAGGGTTTAGGGTTTAGGGTTTAGGGTTTAGGGCTTAGGGTTCAGGGCTCCTAGTGCCCCGAATCTTCTCGCTTCCCTACCACCACGTAGCGACATGTGGCGTCTGACATCAAGTGCCAGGTTCTCCTGGCTGCCCTTTTGGCGGCCAAACTCAGAGATCTTCGCATCGACGCTGCCAGACAGTAGTGTCCGCCCATCGCTGCTTGCAGCCAGTGCCTTGCTCAGTCCGAGCCCATGCTGCTGATGGTGCAAAGGCTAGTAAGACTGGTACTCCCCCTTGAGGCACGCGGTCTTTCAGAAGGTACGCCAAGAAAAAAAACACTGGCTTCGCCGCTTGAAACTTCCAGCTTCGCCAAGCCACCAGAACGTCAGCCTGGTGCTGAGCAAAGCGGTGGAGCAGCACGCAGGCCACCTTCACAACGCTTGACAGGACCACATCACAGCAATAAGAAGCTCAGATGCCGGCCGTGTCCCATATCTGCACTAATCCCAGGCTGTCTCCGCTTGCCAGCATCTTGTCCTGGAACACAGGCGGCTTCCATTCTGCATTCGTAGATACATGCACTATGGCGCCCGAACAAAGTCGAGCAAGGCCTCGAGGGAGACCAGACTCCAAATCCTGCAAGGAGACTCATTGATTTGTATGCCTTCCAGCCTGCCGCCCTGTGAATCAAGCGACACCAACCACCGAAAACGATGCCAAGCAGCAGCGTGTGTCCACGCGGAGGTTTCCTTTCACGGATGATGCACGGCAACAGCGCGGGCAACACTCTCTTGAGAACGTGGGCTGGGAGGTTGCTGGGACATCTCATGCTGTCTGGGGCCTGACAAACATTAATCCAACCGAGCATCTCCAACTGCATGCTGCCTTCGCATACTCCAGCTTCGATACTCCATTTGGAGATCTTGCTGTCAGCTCCGGCAAAAACTGCCCCGTCCTGCACTGCAAGTCTCAACTAAGAGGCCATCGCAGGCCCATGCGGCATCTGTGCCATGTTCTAAGAGGCCCGCGTCCGGAATCCACCCAGTCTTGGAAAAAGATCCAGACAGCTACAAGGAGGCAGGGGGGATTGCAACAAAAACTTGACACCACGTAAAATCACTAAAGACCGGAGACGGCCTGCACATCTCGCAAGCATGGACGATCGCCACAGTTTTCCCCTTTCAAGCTTGATTCATCAGAGATCTTCCAAAACGGAGGAGCGATAGGACATTCCGGGCAACACACGATGGCTTGAATGGACCGACACCCAAATGAGCGAGGAGTTCCAAAACCATAAGGACCATAAACAGAACCGCAACTTATCGCAACATCCGCACATACAGCGACTTACACCAGCACTTGCCCTCACGACCTGGCTCCAACAGCAACTTGTACTTGTCCCAACGGCAAGAGAATCTTTACAGGCTGTCTCTGGCCTGCCCCCTCGCCTTACCACAATCAGCAGAGTGTATCTTGCGTTTCTTGCACTTGCTGTTTGCAGTCTTTCTTTTGACATTGGTGCGCACTCTCTGCGCTTGCTCAACCGCAGTACCCGATTGCCATACATCCACGCAACACAACGGCCGGCCACTTCCATTTTGGCGATTTTTCGTGTTGCGTGTTAGCCTCTTTCGCTGTTTGCGTTATTTTTTCTGCATGTCTGATGTGCTCCAAAACAGCACAACGGAAACTGGCGAGAACGTGGGAAAATGCAGAAGGAACTGGAAAGGAAATACTGGAGAATCAGACAACCTCCGGGAATGGCAAGAAACTTGGTCCCAATAATGGAATGTCTTGATTCCCAGCTTTCTGTCCCAGTTGCTTCTTTGCATGTATAGAATTTCGTTGCGTTTCCTGATTCCACCGGGGATAGACGGCGTGGGCGTAATCTTCATGTGACAGGAAGTCCAGGTACTAGGTACGATTCGCAATCTTGGTGCCGTCACACTGTGCCTAGTCATTGCTGTCTGGATTTGGCTCTTGACTTCCCATCGCTGGCACAGTGGAAACAGAACGCAAAGCCCACTCCAGATGCAACAACGCCAACGCAGGAATCCTCGCAGCCCGCAGCACATCAAGAAGCCGACAAGCAGAATGCGAGCTACATGTTTCTTACAAATGCAAGAACTGAAATGAAATGGAGAATTCAAGCTTCCCAGCAACACCAACAGCCAGCAGCAACAGAGAAAGACAAGCAAGCAAAATGCAAATCATAACTCAGAGCACCTACCGGGTCTGTCGGCCAAGCGAATCTTCAAATCCTGACGCCAAACAAGAGACGGTATAATCCACCTAGAAAAAGGCATCCAAGCAAGCATTGCGCTCCTGAACTGCGAGGCTGAGGAGTCTCGCTTTGGCTATGCTTATGCGCTTGGTATACATCAGCGACCCAGCTCCACCGGCCAATGACATCACCCGGACAGTGCCATCCTGAGGTACCACATTGAAGCGAAGCCTACGTCTGACAGTATCTGGTTGCAGACGTTTCACAACAGAGAATATCACGTGTCGCCAGGCATCATCGCAGGCAGCAAACAGCTGCTGACCTTGAACTGCAAGGCCCCAGACAGCACCACCGCCTTTGTTCAGTCTTCCCCGAGCGCCCCCGTGAACTACCCTGCAATCCCCTACTGAGCGTCTCCTCCTCTAGTCGCTTCCCTGAAAAGCCCCTAGGCCAAGCCGTAAGGACAGCCAGGGCACCTGGAGAGCAAGTCTCAATCGGCTCCAGCGTCTCCACATCCCATTCTGTAACCTCGCTGTGAAGTCCAGCAGATATCAGCCGCAGCTTCGGCGCTTCTTCCTTAGGCACGTTCTCACTCCACAGGTCCCAATCCCAAGCACGAGTGCATTAAGAGCAACACTCTGACACCAGCGCGTGCGAGGGGCGGTGTCAACCACCCATATAATGCTTCTCGGCCTGCGCCGAGAGTTGCCAGGCGCAGAACTCCGCAAGTGCCAGGTCTCTGTGTCCCACAGCTCTAAAGCGCCGTTCCTTGGCAAGGCATGTTCGAACAATGTCATTCTTCATCTCAGGTGCATACTGTTTTGCTAGAGCAACCATGTAAGATCATGAAAGCATGTGTCTGCAATGTTACATGCACAAACAGGTGCGAGCGCAACAAATCCGAAGCTCCGGCATTTCCACAAAATCTCCTGTCAAGCCTTGGAATCAGAAAACCCTTCCAAACTTCCAAAAATAAACCACTCGTGGAATATCCAATTATTCCAGATGTCCAACATCTCCCAACAACGATTTATCGGAACTTCACGAGAACACTAAAAAGAGCCACCCTGACTTGCTGAATCAAGCTGGTTTGGACATATTGCTTCAAAATTACACCAAGAAAGTCCCACCAAAACTCCAACAAGTCACCCTCAGTTACGCAAAAAATAAATCGAAAACTTTGCATGTCTTGGAGATTTTGGAAAACCGCCAGTTCCAACAGCCAAGGCGTGATTCTTTGCGGGATTTTGGAAGTGCTGAGCATTCCTGAATTCTGCATATTTTGGAAATCCAGGGAGACATGCTCCTGAGATTTTGGAAGGCAGGAGATTAAAAAGCTAAGGACAATATCTTTGTTGGAGACCATGGAAGGTAGTACTTGGAGCTCTGCACGCAAACCTGCAAACAAACCCGCATGCCCTGCTCTGCTCAAAACTCGTAGACTAAATCTTAAATGCTTCATGACGTGCTTCCCATCTGACCCGAAACCCCTCCAGTCCAGTCTGCACTACCACCACCACTACTACTACATAGTACTACTACTACTACTACTACTACTACTACTATTGCTATTACTACTACTACACTGCTACTTTTCTGCCTGAAACCCTAAACCCTGAATCCTAAACCGTAAACCCATTTAAGATGCCCTGAACTCGG